GTGAAAACGCGTTAGATTTTTCACGCTTTTTCACGCGTGGTTGTATTCTTAACGGTCACCAACTCGTTGCATGGCGTTTAATATTGCATTCGTTTTCATGCGTGAAGTTTTTAACGATGCTTCTTGCGTTTTTTCGTTTTTAACGAGCTATATCGTGTTAACTATCATGGAAAGCTAGGTTCGTTTACACGCGTGAAGATATTTAACGATGTTTCTTGCGTGCTTTTATTTTTAACGAGCTTCATCGTGATAACTATCGTTAAACATTGCATTCGTTTTCGCACGTAGAGTTTTTTAATTTTCCTACTTGAATTATAAAATGATTTACAAGCGCTTAGAACTTATACATATTCCTGTGCTGTTCACTTTAAATTTATTCCGATTTGGTTCGTATGACAGAATAGATCCATATAAAAGTAAAAATAGTTAATTGTTTTGTGTGATAGCTTTTAGGTAAGAAAGAATTAACTATAAAAGTACAGAAAATAGGATGACAAACATTTAGTAACAGCATAAGCATAGCTGTACAGTTGAGTGAACGTACAAATTTTTCTAAAAGCTCAAAAAATTTTTTATGTAGCTGGACTTGAAACTTTTCATGGTTCTTTATTATCGAGTTAAACTAAGTTGCCTATTTTGCTCATAGAATTCACATCTAATATGAGAAACGTTACTTGTTCATCTTCAATAAATGCTTAAGCTGATGTATACATTACTGCTCAGAATTTTTTATACATTGCTATTGATCGCAAATGTGATGAGCTTTCTCCAATGGTCGATATCTTCCAAAGTTTTATTCGTCCAGAAATAAAATTTAGCAAGATATTAATCGTTGAGGAAAATTCATCACACTTGCGATCAATAACAATGTATAAAAAATTCTGAACAGTAACGTATGCATCAGCTTGAGTATTTATCGAGGAAAAACGCGTTAAACGATCTATTTTTAACGCAGAAAGACGTGTTAAACGGTCTTATTTTTAACGCAGAAAGACGCGTTAAACGATCCTTTCTTTAACGAAAGAAAACGAGTTAAATTTTCGCGCATTTAACGCGTTTTTAGGGTCAGAAAGGTAACATTAAATTTTGTTAAATCGTTAAATTTTTAACGAATTTTCACGTCACAAAACTTCGTTAAATTGCAAAAAATTTTTACATGGGGTGCGTTGCCTATGATTTTAGTGGTACTTTAATTACTTTCAAGCAAAATCAACATGTTACCGTTTTTGCCGTTTCAGTAGTGTAGGAGTTCGCAACATACTCAGCAAAGGATGACCTATGTGTATACTTTTGTAAAGTAATTGAATACTTGAGAATTTCAATTTTTAAGATTTTACATTTATGCTCTCTTTTATTGCTACCCTTTTTGTTGCATCAACAAATTTCGAAGAATGAATTCTTTTAAAATAATATTTATTGAAATGAAGCATTGTCTATAAAGAAATGTAACTAATGTGCTTTTTTTAACATAGTCTGGATCGCCCAAACTGAAAGTTCTTCACTTATCTGATATTCATGTGGATTTTGACTATAAACCTGGTTCACAAGCAGATTGCACTAAACCATTATGCTGTCGAGATGGTCAACCTCGTGAGTATTATATGTATATATAGTGGGATTCAAAATTAATCAGCACGATTTATTTTCAATTTTTTCCACTACCGTAAGCGACAGAAAGAGGCAAAATAATGATTAAAATAGAAAGAATTGTTAAATCAAAAGGCTAGTTTTTCAGCTTCTAAAACAGATAAATATAATTTTGCATAGACTAAATAGTACAATAAAGAAAAAAAATGCTCTAAAAAAATGAGACGTCTCAGAGTTCTTTGTACCATTTTCTAGCTGTACTACAGCAATCTTACGGAAATTCCTAAAGTCGTTTTTGTTACTATTTCCTATTGAAAAGCCATTTGTTAATTTACAATAAAATTCCTATATATCAGCTCAAACACTTTGCAAAGAACTGGAATTCATTACATTTCGTAGATAATTATATAGTCTGACATTCTATATAGGCTAAGCAAAACTATTTTTATGTATTTTAAATGCTTCAATCCCTTTCTTTGTGAATCCAATATTAATTTTTATTTCTTTATATTTCTGTTGGAAACAATTTTTCTACTGATATTACTATTTTGACTCTCACTGCCCCTTTCGGCAATGAAAAAAATATTGAAACTAAACCTTGTTAAATAATTTTGCTATTCATTGTAAACACTCCATGATAAAAATTGAAAAATTTCATACAGAACCTAGGCATGCTGGTGCTGGTTTCTGGTATGTATACTTAATTTTATTTAAAAGTTTCCCACACAATATATTTCTTGTTTAGGGGTGATTATCGTAATTGTGATATACCTCTCTGGACAGTTCAAACTATTCTACAATATGCTTCTGAACTAGAAGATGTCAGTCATAAATGAAATACATTTCATCATCATTGAAAAATGATATTTAATCTTGTTTTGATAGTTTGACTTCATCTATTATACTGGTGATTTGCCACCTCACAACGTATGGAATCAATCCCGTGCTGATCAACTCTATACCATTCAAACTATTAATCAATTATTAGCTAAGACTTTTCCTAATAAAACTTTCTATCCAGCAGTTGGAAATCATGAAGCAGGTGTTGTATTAATCTATCTTTTTTCTTCAATTTATCTATTTGATTTTTTTTTCCTTTGTTCTATAGCACCTTGTAATCTGTTTCCAACACCTATTATTCGATCAGACAATATTTCATGGTTGTACGAAGCATTAGCCGATAGCTGGCTTACACTTGGTTTACCATCTGATACACGTGATACTATAACACGTGGAGCTTTCTATACAACAATTGTACGTCCTGGTTTACGATTAATATCGCTCAATATGAATTATTGTGCACCCGAAAATTATTGGTTATTTGTCAATGCAACTGATCCACTTGATCAACTTCAATGGGTAAGTGTTAAAATAATAAAAAAAAAAAAATTCTAATATATTTGAATATTTTTAGTTCATACAATGGTTACAATATGCTGAAGATCATGACGAGAAGGTCCACATTCTTGGACATCATCCACCACGTTCTTGTTTGGCAGCTTTTAGCTGGAATTTTCATAAAATTATCAATCGGTTAGAAAACTAAACATTTGGTTCAATATTCTTTAGTTTATATTTTTTAGATATGAAAATACCATTGCTGGTCAATTTTATGGTCACACACATAATGATGAATTTATTGTATTCTATGATGAAATTGAAAAACAACGACCTGTATCAATGGTTTGGTGTTTCTTTCAGATCTTGTTACTCATTTTTTCATTCTGTCCTGTTCTAGGCTTATGTAACACCTTCAATGACTACACAATCATTTTTAAATCCAGGTTATCGTGTTTATACAATGGATGGTGTCTATCCAAATAGTTCCTATTGGGTACTTGATCATCGTACAGTTATTATGAACCTAACAGCATCAAATATGTATAATAGAAGCATTCTAATCAATGAATATGAAGCTCGAGATGCTTATGAAATGGAAAATTTATTTCCTGCTGATTGGGACAATCTTATTCAAAGAATGAAAAATGATATTGATGGTCCATTAATGGGTTTAGCATACACATATTATACAAAATCGTATGCTACTGGAACCAGTTGTAATCATGATTGTCGACGAGGTTTATTATGCAATTTTATGACAGGCCGTTCGGATGATCCTCATGCATGTGACTCAATTCCAACTTATCGTTGATTTGTAACTGATGAATTTCTGTAATTCAAATTTTTTATTAGTTTTAATTTTGATTATTGATTCTTTCATTTGCTACTTGTATCTTTAATTGAAAACCACTCTGTAGTTTCATTAGTTACACTTTTTTGTGAAAATTTTTGAACAATTAGATGTAATTAGAAATATTTAGATATTCTTGAAGTCGTTAAGAATACGATGCATTTATTTTGAAACTTCGAGAACAGTTTTTCTTCCAATGTGCATGAAGGCCAACGCTTTTCAACTGAGTAACTAATGTCGTCGTTGTATTACGTCAAAATAGCATTTTCCCTATTTTTTCTACACATTTATGTAAGTAAAAAGCACATTATAAATATTTATTAAGGTTATAACTGACGTTAAATGTATTGTATTCATAGTTCTGTTATTTAAAGTACGTCAAAATATTTTTCTAGGAATGTAACACTGCAATTTCAAATAAAATCAACGACAAATTTTATAATAAATTAAAGTGCGTCGAAAATGAAGTTTACCAATACTAAATAGTAAGGATCATATGCAACTTGTCAGTGTCGAATTCAGAAAATTTCTAAAATTTTATGCCATATCAGCAGAGAAAAATTCCTTTCATGAGACGTTTCAACCTAAACCTCATTTAAAAATTATGAATATCAATAAGTAATATTTACTTTTTTTAGGATTTGATGAATACAATTAATAATTAGTATGAATACCATTAGCGTTTTTACAGCACGACGATGAGATGGATATGAACATGAAAAACTTTCAAATAAATTAATATTTTTTATATATGGTTTTTTTTTGAGTTTCTTTATCATAATGGTTGTGCTGTATCTTCAATAGGCCTTGTCTTCCGCTTCATTTTCGATTATTATTCGAAAGGAATTTTTCTCTGTTCATACGCTGTAAAATATTAGGAGTTTCATACATTCGGCAATGAAAAATTGCATATAATATTTACTATTTAGTATTAGTGAATTCCATTTTTGACGTGGGTCAATATGGTATAAAATTTGTTGCTGTTGATGTTATTTGAAATCACAGCGTTATCTCACTGGAAAACAAATTTTTACACACTCTGCACCTGTCTATGAAATAGAAACATTCCTCTTATAAAGACAAAAAAAAACTGAGAAACGTTAGTTATTCTCTCGCTTTATTAGTTCTTAAACGGATATCTTAAGCAGAATGTTTTTATCAAGCTTGTCAAGACATTCAAAACTTCAGAAAATATGTACACGAATCTATTGATCAATTAATTACTGTTTTTCTATTTTATTATGTTATTTGTAATGCCTATGTGACTCTATAATATTATAGTTTCTATATAAACTCAACTGAAATCCTATAATGAGATGAAGAATTGAATTACTTAAGCAAAAAATAAAAGTAGAAGAAAAAAAGCTACGTTCTAAGTAAACACATTATCTTTGGTCGAATTCAGACGACTTTCTCTTTCTTTTTTCTATCTTTCATATTCAAAGTTGTGCTTTCACATCAGCAGATCGGCCTATCAGAAAAAAAGAAGCAAACATTTTACTTATTATTATATATCTTACATTAGCATATATAATTATGTCGGATGAACTTCGAAATAATATGAGTCCTATCATGGTATGTTTAAATAAAATGAGATTAGTGTTTTATTTTTTGAAAAAATCTTTTGTTTTTATTTTCTTCAGGATGCTACACCTGAAATTCAAGAAATAAGGTAAGTCATTTTCTCATGAAACTTCATTATGATCTTCGCTTTGTTTTTCTTTATAGTGAATATCCGGAAATAAAATATGCAGCTATTGATACTTTATATAGAAAACATTACGAACATAAAGTTCATCGTTTAACGGAAGAACGTCGAGAAAAGCATATAGTTAATTGGAAGTTAGTTTCAATTTTTAAGACTACTAAATAATGATTAAAATATGTTGGATATTATTTAGAGTAACAAAATATGCTGAAGAAGAAGTTGCTTATGGTACTAATTATTTTTTGAAAATATCTATCGATAATAATTTATTTATTCATATTCGAATTCATCGACATAAAAATCAAAATAAATATGATTTTTATGCCTTACGTGAAATATTCAAACATGATCATGCGACTTGTATTTTTACAGAAGGTGCAAAAAGAATATATTTCTTTACGATCCACAAATAAAATATATTTTTGTTTTAGATGAACCATTGACTTATTTCAATTATTAGAAGATACAATCAAAAAAAAAAGACGCTCATATTTAGTTCTTTTTTTTTATTAAAGAATTTAACATGTAAATAAATATTCTTTTTCATTAATCCTTTCAAATATATATCTGTCATTAATTTTCAATCGAATTAGAAAATATTAAGCTTCCTCTCCCGCTGAAAAAACCGATCCTGAGTCAGACGCATTGATATCGCATGAAATTTCCATTATAGACTATACTAAAATTTTCATCTCTATATTATGACGTTTGAGAGAGATATCCAACAAAAAGAAATCACAAATAGTTCAGTTGGCAATTCCAAATTCTTTGTGAGTTCTCATTCTGTAGATTTTTCTTTTTATTTTAAAGAACATATATCAAACTGCAGTGTTGTGTGGTTTAAATTCTTACTTTTTATGCCGAGAAAGAGAATGGCAAGTTCAATACCTCGAAAATTTCCAAAAATTGATCGTCTATTTAGAGAAATGCTTTTTATATAATAATAATAATAATGCTTAATTCAAAAAAAAAATAGGTAGTAGAACTTCACATGCTCTTTCACAACAAAAATATGTAAATGGCTATAATAAAGCTAATTCGACGATTCTGCGATGCGCGATCAGAAAAGGATAAACAGAAAAAAATATTTCTCGCTTTTTCTAAAAAAACATACGTTTCAAGCAGAAGGTGTTGTAAATCATAAAATAAAACAAGGTTACAAATATAAAAACCGTACCGTTGATAAAAAATCAAATCTCGGGCTGTCTTCGCATGTAGTTATCTTAATTTCAATTTTTGTAATGGATATCGACCTTTGCTTCAAGAGAGACCTTAGGAAATAGTTTTATTCTCGTTCAACAAGTTTTATCACATATTTATTTTAAAAACTAAATATGGAATAAAGAAGATACAGTTTCTATTGTGCGTTCGAAAAATTGTATTTTTGTTTATATGAAATGATGGAAAATCATTAAAAGCTTTTGAAGTTTTTTAAATATATTCTTTGGCAATTTGCATTTAGCATAAAAACAAAATATTTTAGCACCTTACAATGTTAATACATAAACATTCACCTAACTCTAATAATATCTTAGAAAAAAAAAAGGAAAAAATCACGCTCATACAGCAGTAGTAGTGTACATGTAGTTGTAAATGATATTATAACAGTATCAATCGAACATAGACACCTTTAGAATGATAGTATGTTAAGACTTCAAAATTGAATTGGTTCTACGACAATTAGGTGACGTCAATGGGCACTCTGACAATTAATTACAGTACAGAATCGGTGATAATAACGAAAAATAAAGACTGCAAAAAACTTTTCTTAACACTATCGAAAAACAGCTCAGAGAAAGTAAGAAAATAACAAACAATCTATTTAAGGACAAGGAGCATTAGTTAGGGGTATAAATATGAATGTATAGTAAACTCTTCTGATTGAGTGTGAAACTCTACAGGATAGTAAGTAATAATTACTTTAAAGTTTCCCCATAATCTTCCGTAATTTTTCACTCTTTTGGACTTTCTGTCTGTTGCAGCTTTTGCTATATAGTAATGAATGTGATCGTCGTCTTTTGGTAATATTTCGTTAAACCCAAAATGTGAGTATCAACATTTAATTACCGTTTACCAGCGAAATCATCTAGGAGTCTATTCCATGGAGTAAATCTTCACTTTTCATATGCCGATGTCATCGTTGGATGGCGCTGAATGTGATTGAATTACATATCTGCAAATTGAAGTTTGTAGGAAGTGTAATAGAAAACACGCTTCTGCCAATAATGCGACCAGCTCTACATTGTAACTCATTGTCGAGTACGAGTTTCTGTAAAGAGAAGACTCTAACATCCCACACCCACATCTATCAATCTGATTGAAGAAGAAAAATGATTGAACCTACAAAGCATGAATCTAGGAATAGGCTTTAGGCTTGCTACAAATCTTGTGGCTCCGTCGTCTATGCATATTCCAAACTAGTTGTGAGTTAATCAGATGTGCACTGATCTTATAACAACGCGTCATTTGCTACGAGAAAATAAAGATTTAACAGTAACAGAAAATTTTTTACTTAACATAGAACTTATCAGACAATAGAACCATTGAAAGTGATTCATCGCTTTTGATTTCATATTTTGCCCATAAGTAGCAGACTCGTAGAAGAGGAAAAGTTCAATATGATACAGGTTCATTTTGTGATTTGACTCGAATAAAGAAATTTTACTGAAATATTCCTGCCGAGTCTTGACTTTCAAACAAAATCATATGTTCGAACTTTTGTATGAAACTTAGAGCATATTGAGACTGCAACTAGGTTAGTTTGTACAAAAAATTTCAGAACTATATATATCTTGACAACTTCATATCTCAATTATGTACTATGTGGAACAGTTCTGAAATTTTTTGTACAAGTTAGCCTATGTTCAGTCTCGATATAAGCAAAGTTTTATGTTGAAGCTCAAAAATATGATTTTGTTGAAAAATCAGGATCCTACAGGAATATTTCAATGAAACTTCTCTATCTCAGTCTATTCACAACATGAGTCTCTTTCATTTTGAATTTTTCTTAGTCTACATGTCTGCTATTGATGAATAAAATATAAGTCAAAAGCGATGAATCACTTTGAACGGTTCCCTTATAAATCTGTATCTGTCCAGTCGATAGTAGACTCGAGTCTTTCCAGACCGTGTTGCTTTATTGCCTATGATTGTTCTTGCTTGCAGTATTATTGAATAATGAGATAGTTCAAATAAAACTTGTTCGCATTCATTAAAAAAAAAACGTCAACATTAGAAAGAATTTTCTTTTTCA